GTTCTGAAATAAAAAAAATATAGAAATAAAAAAAAATATTTGCTAGGTTGCTTTGTGGGAAAATCTATCACATCTCTTTTGTTTTTCATCAATAAAATCACCAAAGTTAATTTCTTTATAAAAAAGGTTTTTCCTGAAAATTATTAATTATATATTATTGTGAGGCGTGAGTGTATGCGCTACTTATCTTATACTACATTTGCCTTAAACATTTTTTTTATATTAACTTCTTCTAATGTAGGCCTACCTATAGCTTAATCAATATTTTCAATGAGAATTAGTTTTTTAGTAGCTACAGAAGTAGTTGAGTAGTGAATCGACAACAAATTATACTTTTAAATTAGATTGCTTTGTTCTCTATTTCTTCTATTTTGTTGTAGTGATTTGCATTCTTTCTACGTAGTGCATGTTAGTTTTACAACTATTGTTTTGTGTAGTAAAGATTTTCTAATGAAACATATGGAATGCACTTAATGCATGTGATAAACCTTTTGAATGTGTGTAGCCTAATATTTGTAGTTTCAAGTCCTCTACCTTAGAAATACTTGGATGTGTAGTATGGTATGATTTAAGGTTTACAAATTTAATAAGTATGTTTTAATGTTAATTAATGGTTGAGTAAGTTCTGTTTTGAGTAATAATTGTTGGTGGTTTACTTACCTCTTCTTGAACAATTTATAAAGTAACTTATTGGTTTCCATGGTTTTTAAAAATGTTTTATGATTTTGATAAGATCCGCTGAACACAAAATATTCTTGTCTGGTAGTAGTGGTGTGCGATGTTTCGAAATAGTAATTCAATTCGATTTTATGCATCAAATTTAAAATAAATGCTGCATCGCACATTTCTATCTGATAGTATTAGGCCTACCTTGACATATATGTGTTCAAACCATAATGATTAGAATCTATAGTGGTTATTCATGTACCTGCGTCACCTCTTTTTAAAGAGGTACTCTAAGTAACTAGGCTTAGATTCTGAGGATTTATCTTCTAAGTAAGGACGTAACATCTGGCAGCAATCTTGAACTGACGATGCGGTTGATGTCGTAAATCACTATGGATTTTAATGGCATCAGCCGCGAAGAGCCTACGATGAGGATAACCTATAAGATTGATGACCAAGTACACAAACCACTTATTGTATCATTAGCAATAAGTTGTATGGGACATGGGTATTGATCCAGGTTTAGTCATCTACCATAGTTTTGCTGTCCAGTATTGTGTTAAGTATAAGTAGGACATAGTAGAAATAGACAAGCAGTAATTGCCAGTAAAACATAAATTTTTAATTTACTGATCATCCAATTGTAAAATTAGTTCATACAGTGGAGTCCCGATAATCCGAACTTCGGTAATCCGAAACCAAATAAAATATATTTTTTAATTTTTTTTATAAAAAAATTAAAATTTAAAAAATTGTTTGAATTTTTTTAAGTTTTTTTTATCAAACTTTTAACACAGTTAGCTGTACCTTGTCAACGTATTCTGTAGCGGCCGGGCGAGATAGACTTTTTTGTAGAGTATTTTAGTATTTCACCATTTTTGTTATTACTGTAACAATTTTCATATTCGTCCGACAAATCACAAATGAATTTTATTACTGTAAGTGATAATGCTGCAGCCACTAGGTCTAGCCTTAAGTAATGTGAAAAACAATCCCGAGCTCGTGCCTGCGTCCTAAGACAAAAAAAAATATTCAAAATAAAAAAAAAGTTTAATCCGAAATATTTGGTAATCCGAAATGGGCCTGGTCCCAACCATTTCGGACTAAAGGGACTCTACTGTAATATATTCAATTTATTTTCCTATTATTTAAATTTGTTATTGAATTTCCATTATTTTTTCAGTTCGACAAAAGCGCATCGTCATTGATGAAAGAGAAAGACTTGCACTGGCAACAGCTATGAAAGTGAAAGCTATGGACGCTCTAAAGGTAAACTTTGACAACAGCTTTAGTAAATACCTCTCTCCTGGCTTACAATTTTGTGGTACATTGTTATTAATTTCAAATGCTTTAATACAAGATGACTTATCTCACTATGAGTGTAGTATTTTAATGTATATATAAACAGGAGTAACTAGTAAATTTCTTTTAATTTAACAAATGCTTACTGCAGGTATACCAAAACATAATTAATTTCAAATAGAATAAAGCTCCTCACATCCAGCGAAAAGTGTTGCAATGTTGCTGAATAACTTTGTAGGATTAGTCTTTTGATAAATTTACTGTCATTGCTTATTTTAGTAAATTCAGTTTTAACTTGAGAATATGTTTGTTTCAGCTCTCTGGACAAAAACAGCAAATCAAGCTGACTCTGAAAGGAGCAGGTAAGACTATTTTTCCTTGTTAGGATAAGTTTTATTTTTTTCCAAATAAAAAACAAAGAATATAATACGATTGAATAGCTGAATCTATATTTTAAAATAAATCTGTTTGTGCATCACTCAAAAGCCACTAGACTAATCTAAATGGAATTCTGGGCAAAGATAGTCTACTTATCAAAAATAAATTCCCCATTCCCATTTTTTTTTTGGAAGGGGCACTTTGTTTAGGAGTACATTAAGGAAGTAGGAATGGTATTTTCTAATGTAAGAAAACAGTTTCAGGTAGTTAAAAGCACGCAAAAAGAGTTTACAACACAATAAAATTTATGTTTCACCCATATGCTTTTTAGGAAAGTTAGTTGTGTATCCATTTTTCTTCTTTAATATATTCCCATTTTGATATTTCAACTTGGGTCATTGCCTCAGGCATTCAGAGTTCTATCGTGGAGCTTTTACATATATTTTAAAATAACTGTTTTGCTATAATAATCATTGCCTAAAAAGTAGCAATTTTTTACATTCCTTCTCCAAATGAACCCAATCCCGCAATATCCTGACAACACTGTACCCAAGTACAAATCTGTTCTAAGATCATTAGCCTTTCTTCCACTATCAATAAATTGTCAGTTTACATCCCTCAAAATAGTTTAATTTGAACAAGTTATTGATGTCAATTTTAACAGCTGATTCTAAGTTTCTTGTATCATAATCAATTGATATGTAACAGGTGACAGGACAGCAGCTCCAGTTCCATCTATTGGCAAGAAGAGGCTGGCAGAATCCCCTCCTATGGAATTTTCTCCTCCAAAGGTAAGATTTACAAGTCAGTGTTACCAACTTAAAATCTTGAGTCTCCCTAGTGATATATTGTCAAGGTCTTACGCTTGAATAGTCCAACTTCAAACTAATCTCTTTTAAATAGGAAATAAATCTGACAAGTTAAAATATTTGATTAAAAATCCAATTATGCAAATGAAAACTACTTATCATGCAGTTTTGTTGCAGTGGGAGTATTTTATTTCTCTTTTATAGATAATCATTACTCTCACACCATTTCTCTCTTTACAGGCTGGCACGAAAACAACACCAAAGAAAGCTGCGCCCTCGAGACGGGAAGAACTTCTGAAGCAGTTGAAAGCGGTTGAAGACGCCATCGCTCGGAAGAGATCTAAGATCAGTTAACTTTGCAGTCAGTAATCTTGTCCTTAGCAGCAGACTCCATTCCTTGTATATATACATTTGTCCATACATAACTTAAAATCATGTACGTCTTTGTTTAGATAACTTTGTAGTGTTGATTCTCTTGTAGCTAAGTTTATAAGAAATAAATGTAAAAAGTGAATAATTCTTCTATGTTTTTAACCTGTTTGATATATAGTGTAGATTTAAGAGTTTTTTGTTCAGCAATTAAGGACAAAAATCGGGATTGTTGAACAGATTTGTTGGTTTTTTATTCAGTCCAGTCGATCCAATTTAGCTGTACAAGTTGTGATCAAACAAAAAGGATAGATTCCATATGAGGAACCATATGGAATCCATCCTTATTGTTTGATCACAACTTTTATAGCTAAATTGGATCGACTGGACTGAATAAAAACCAAATCTGTTCAACAATACAGATTTTTGATTCCTTAGAGGATAGTTTGATTCCTAAGGCTTTTATTTCTAAATGAATAGTCGGAGGGAGATGCACTGGCGGTTTCAGCCCCACTGGAAGGATGGCCCCCTTTTTTGAGTGATTGCGTGGGTTATTGAAAATGAATTTCAATAGTTGATAGTATTCATAAAATTCCAGTAGCAAACACACTTACATTAATGTTTTTTTTTAACTTAATTTAAATTTGCAATGTTTAGTTTGTAAAAAAATCTAACTACAGGTCGGCCGCTTAGAAAACGACCTCCTCCAGCATTGGTTTAGCATTAGCACGCAGGTCGTTTTCTAAGCGGCCGAACTATAGATTTTTTGTTTGCAGTGAATCTCTGTATGTACCAAGATTACCAAGCTATATGCGATATACCAAGCTAACTGCTTTTCCCTAAAAACATAACCTGTATGTACCAAGAGAAATTTATAAAATTGAAAACGCATTAAGGAAGCTTAAAAAAGGTTTCTTTAACATACCGGTATTCCACAGAACTTTTCTATCTACACACCAATCTATAACATTTTATGGATTTATGATACCGTAAGTTTTTTTTGCTAACTTGGTGGTTGTATGAATGAGCAAGGGTGAACTGGCACAATAAGACCATATTACAGCTTTGTTTGAACTAGTTTAATTGGTTGTGGAACAAGGCCAGGTAACTGATTATAACTGACTCATTAAATCTATTGGGATGAAGAAGCTCATTAAATGAACAGCTCCGCCGAAAGCTGCAAGTGACAAAAAGTGAATACTGTATTTGCAGAAAACACCAAAACTTTCTGACCAATCATAACACAGCCAGTGCCTATGCATTATTCAGTCACTTGTATAAGTGCTGCCAACCTAGGCCTATGTATTTTTAAAACAAAATATCCCTCGCAGTAGAAAATGTCACTTGCATCGTTTATCTTAAAATATCACAATTTCACAATGAGTACTTTGTTCTACAGAGATATTCAAATGAAGGCCTCAAAACAGCTATTATTCCATTCCATTGTCACAAAGGTAAAAATTTGCAAGACTGGTAAAAAAATTGTTATATTTTACAAATAAAATCTTCATCTTAGTCATCTCTCCATGTAACTTCTACTTCGTCCGTCCTGAATCTGTAAAAGATTAGATTGAAATGAACACTTGATAACAAAGTATTGTAACAGCTTGCCTTTATAATTTGGGAGTGAAGGCATTTTAAAGATTTTACATTAAAAAAACCTTACTTGGCCTTGAAAATTTAAAATCAGGGAGCTTATGGTTAAAAAATGTGAGACCTTTTTTAAGGCAGCAAAATTGTGGGTTACGGACCACTGCCACCACTAAAATTTATTATTCTCTTCAAACATTTACGCCGTTTTAGGGGAAGAAATTTATTTCATCCCTTTGATCCTACCTCAATATCTCAACAACTGGGGTTTGCCAAAACGTCAATAAGCCGGAACATATACTTTAAGCAAAAAAAGTAGTGCTGTATCTTCCCCTAAAACCGCCTGAATTTTGTGAACGGACTATGGTACTGTGCAGTTAATTTTTGTTATGTACCACTCAGTCACCCCTTGCTTTTCTTGATAAATTCTACGCACAGGCCTAAGGCCCATGTGGACAGACAAATTCAAAAGCAAAGTCAACGTCTTCAAAGAAAAAATTGAATTTTTCATCTTTCTTCAAGTAAACTTGAATTTAAGGAATTTTTCAGAGGATTGTTTAAGGCTATTGCTAGTCCTTATATTGTGACCAAAGACATTACATTATCAGCATATTTGGGATTGACATAACACAGAACTAAAGATGGACGGAATTGTCCTTTTAGATCGGGTCAGTATTTTTATTTCCATCCTGATTTTTGGGGCAGGAACAAGACAGGATTATTTTAGAAGTCAAGAAAAACTTGTCTGTGTAATTAAAATCTTGAGTAAAGTTTTTAGCGAAAGCAATTTCTTGACTTTATTGTCTCTTTGCCTCTAGCAATTGCTCCGACATTATTGTATGTAACCCGTAATAGCAGTAAAATTGTAATTATCTCCTCCTGTGTTTGTGGATATCTAGGATCATGGCAAATCTTATCATTTTGAAACCCGTCCACCCCTACATGAAACATATCTGAACATGCTTCATTTACAGCATACTGAAAGTCTACAGTAATGAACACAGGTGTTACCTCTGAGTGATCGTGGTCTGGTCCCACTGAGTAGGCCCCGCAGTGGTGAACAACAACGCCCCCGCCACAGCTATCATGGCCCCGTTGTCTATACAGAACCGCTCATCTGTGGCGTACAGCTTGGCACCTCGCTCGTCACACATCACTCCCATCATCTCCTGCAGTCTCAGGTTACACCCGACACCTCCGACTAGCAACACTTCCTGTGATCCTGTGTGTGCCATCGCCCTCTCTGCAATATGATAATAAGTCTTATATTTTTTGTTGTTGAGTCTAGAATACTACCTTCTAGCCGGAGGTAATTTTTAACATTACTTCAGGCTAGTAACTAGGGGTTGCAACATTATCACCAAGTTAAAATCAATTGGTGATTTGCAGGATTTGAACCTGTGACCTCATGGACTGAAATCCCATGCTCTACCACTTTAGACCAGCCTGCTCATAAATAATTCTTATATACACCCAATCCTGCACCCAATCCAGTTGGCTCTAGGGAGCAAGATGGTCTAGTAATAGCACAGGGCTTCGTTCCCTGAGGTCCTGGGTTCAAATCCTGCCAATGACCACTAAAGTTTCTAAGTGATAGCCTGAAGTAATGACCTGAAGTAGTGACCCTCTAAGCCTAGCCAGAAGTAATGTGTCAACGGATACAGACTTGAGACTAGTGCCCTAGGTTTTCAAGGTAGGGGGGAAAACAACTTACTCTACTCACTGAGTTAGTATCAAGGCTACATAGTTTATCTAACTCCATTTGACTATTCACTCTGAGTTCATTTTCAGCTTTAACACGTTCACTGCGTTATATATTTTCCCGCATTATTACACTGGTGCGTTACGAGATCTATAGGTCTCGTCCGCTATGATTACCCAGGTGCGATACGAGACCCTGAGATTACGTTGCGCAGTAATCTTTTGCGCATCATAACCTCAAAATAAATGGAGAGTGGGCGCTCTGTGTTTGTTTATTTGAACCAGTACAATGTTGACAATCTTCAGCCAGCCCAGGAACTGAATATGACGTCATTGTACGAGACCCCGAGATCTCGTATCGCACATTTGTAATACTTCATAATTTATTTGTATTTATTTACAATAAAACATGTGATTTCTATTTATTTACAATAATCGACTGCAATAAAATTAATATTTTATCACTTTATAGATATAAAATTAAACTTTTTATAATAATACGTTTTCTCATGGCTGATTCTAGGGTAAAAAATTATAAATGAATAATATGTTTGCACATTATTTATTCCATTACAATTTTAAAACATGGATTGCAATATAGTAAAAATGTGTAATATTATTATACAAAATAAAAATTTCCAATGTTTTAAGTGTTGAATGAAAATATCTAAACAAATATACTGTAGTAATAAAATATTTTGTCAAATAAGCCTTTCAAGATTCTTATATTTTTCATACGAATAAAATGTTGATGTTCTCAAAGACACTGAATACTAAAATTAAAATTACACATGTTTCTCATTGAAACATTCCAGGCAAAAAAAGGGTTGGTCTGGACAGTCTTTGCAGAAGGTGTTCACTGTTTTGGTTTTCTTATCAGCCTCTCTTGAAGAGGATGTTTTCCTTAGTTTCTCATAGCATCCCCTGCAACGACGCCTTTTCTTCTTTCCCTCACCCTCTGATTTGCTGAGAGAATGAGCTGGCCTCTTTCTTTGTGGTGGTGTCATATGTCTTACAGGAGCCTCGTCCAGGCCCATTAGGCTTAAAGCAACTGATTCCCTAAACTTAAGCATAGGCATTTTGTCGTTGTTCAGCTTCCCGTAAATAACCCACGAGTTCACCAATGTGGTTCCCGTGATGAGCTCAAGGGCAACTTTTTTATACCACTTGAGATTTCTTCGTAACGTTGTGTAGTATGACGACATCTGATCACTGTAGTCAACTCCCTTCTTCACGTTATTATAGTCAAGCACACACTTAGGTTTCAGTATCGGCTCATTTGTTCTATTTCTTCTCCCTGAATTTACTAGGGTACTGTCATGATTAGGGGATGATGACACCATTGTCACGTTTCTTTTGTCCGTCCATTTTACCACTTTCGTACCATGCTGGCACTTAAATCCAATGCATTGGCCCCTTTTCAACTTAGTTTTCAATCCTTTAGGCAATCCCTTTCTGTTCACATTTACTGTTCCACACATCCTCGTTTTCAGTTCTAGGAGTTTTTCGACGATGGGTATGCCAGTGTAAAAGTTGTCAGTTATTAAGGTCCTTCCTTTGTTGAGAAATCCTTCAATCAGGACATCGTCACTTTCAAAATCCCCCATTAGATCTAAAACCACATCATAGGTGTGCCCATGGGGGCTGTTTGTGCTCTTCCCAGCATACAAAATCATTTTAAGTGTATAGCCGTCAACTGTACACAGCTTATACACTTTCACTCCATACTTATGGGCCTTATTCTTTATGTATTGTTTGAAAACAAGCCTCCCTCGCCATGGTATCATTGTTTCGTCTATTACAAGATCCTTGCCAGGTTCCAACGCATACATGTATGCTGAGTTGAGGTAATTCACAATTACTCTTATCTTAGCTAAACGGTCATTTTGGTCAGGAATCCGTTCATTATTCACAAAATGCCAAAACTTCTTTATCAACAAGAAGCGGTCTCTAGTCATGGTTTGTTTAATCAACGGGTTTCCATTGTAAGGGTTGATTTTTTACTCCTCACCTTTTTTTTATCATATCACGGCTGAAATCGGGAGACAAAAGGTTTTTAACTGAGGATCAGTCAGGTAGTACAAACGACCAAGGATTTTGAGGTTAAGCATGGTGAGGCGAGGCTCAAGTAGTTAGCGCGAGCACCGATGTAGCCGCCGCCGAGGCCGAGTCAGACTGCCAAAACTGGTTTCTGCGCATGACCGGCTCAGACGTGCAACAAAACCACTGGGACCGGGCGCCGCCGGACAGTCTGTGCCATTTTGTGACCCGATCAACACATCTCTCTCTAAGGTATAGTGCCCACTTGACATCATTTTATGATTCAGGGAAATTAGATTGTTTTGCGTTTGGATATTTACGATCGATGTTGGATAGTTGATTTACGATAATTTGTTCACGATAAACGAAGTTTTCGATTTTGATCAGTGATTAATTGGTATTCTTGCAATTAAATTTAGATTTTAAATTGTGAAATAATTAGTTTGAAGTTAAAGAAATTTTGCCGACTAGCTATATAAAATCCAAACGAGTTAGCATACACTAGGCTATTGAGGAAAGCAAAAGTTGAGCAAGGCCAATTGAGTATTCTAAAGGATTTTTACCTACACATCTTATATTACATAACCTCTGTGTCACCTTCCAATATCCCTCATTTTGCTGAAGCATAAGCAGCATCCTTTGGGCAGAACACGCTACTCAATTACCTAAACCCTCTTGTATCGCAGTTAAGGAGTGATTTAATAGGTTAAGCCTTAGCCTAGTTGTTATTGAAGAACTATATAATTTGAGGGTGACAATAGCCTAAGCTGGTGTAATATAACGTCATATAAACTCAATGTTGCCTTCCAAACACCTCTCCTTTTGCTGAAGTATAAGCAGCATCCTTTGGGCAGTGTACGCCATTCTATAGCCTACTACCCTATCTTGTATGCTTAACAAATTTCTGGTATTTAATTCAAACGTAGAGAGAGTTACGAGACACAATTAGCTATAAGGTGTTTACGATTTAATAACGACATAACCTATTTGCCACGCACAACACAACAGTGTTCTGCTCGACGTTTTGTTATTATTTTGCGTATGATCCGAACTATCGATCGTATTGAAATCGATAGCTATCGAAGTTAACACCGAATCTACTACCGGAATAATAGTTTATAGTTAGCCGTTGATTATAGTTGTTAGTGATTGGATCCTCGACATTGACTAGCGATATAGCATTTGATTTTGATCTGAATAGCCGCTAGCTATAATAGCCTAACATCTGATTGGTTAATAACATCTTTATTTCGTATAATAATAATACTTATTATTATTATCCAACTTGATTGACTTGAACGATTGCGTGAATATAAATAGCTGTTTTATAAATAGCCTAGGATAGCTGTTTTAGTGCTCGCATAGCTAGCGTTAGCCTGTTGATTATTTGGGATCTTTAAAGGATAGTGGGGGGCCTTAGTTATCCAAATTAACCTACCGTAACCTATCCTAGATTGCTGAAGTATATTCAGCATCCTAGTTAGCTGTACAGGCTATCTACCCTTAACCTTTTGTTGTTTAGAGCGCATTTGCGTGGGTTTAGGGTAGCGACCGAGGTTCATACGGGCGTTTAGGTAACGATTAACCTACCGTAACCTATCCTAGATTGCTGAAGTATACTCAGCATCCTAGTTAGCTGTACAGGCTATCTACCCTTAACCTTTTTGTTGTTTAGAGCGCATTTGCGTGGGTTTAGGGTAGCGACCGAGGTTCATACGGGCGTTTAGGTAACGATTAACCTACCGTAACCTATCCTAGATTGCTGAAGTATATTCAGCATTCTCGTTAGCTGTGCAGGCTATCTATCCTTAACCTCTTTGTTGTTTAGAGCGCATTTGCGTGGGGTTTAGGGTAGCGACCGAGGTGTATACGGGCGTTTAGGTAACGATTAACCTACCGTAACCTATCCTAGATTGCTGAAGTATATTCAGCATCCTAGTTAGCTGTGCAGGCTATATATCCTTAACCTCTTTGTTGTTTAGAGCGCATTTGCGTGGGGTTAGGGTAACGATCGGAGCGTAGCAAGGTTTAGTTTGGTCCTATAACCTTTGATACCGATCCTAGTTTGCTCGAAGAATATTCAGCATCCTAACTAGCTGTACAAGCTATCGAACCTAATTCTTGAAATAGATTCTAACGCGAGAATTGAATTAACAGATAACACGACACATAGATTATATACGACAACGTTTTCTCTCGCGTCTGATAGGGTAACGATGATGAGTGAATAGCGACAACTGGTTCGCACATTTCACTGAGTTACCCTATCATTTCAATAAAGGAATTTGATTAAACACAGACGATCGACACTTTAGGTTATTCGAGACGAAATTAATATTGAGTGGAATTTCACATCAACAATATTTTGTTGATTCACATCGACCCCTGGAAATTTAAACCCAGCACTGCTGAACTATCTTTGGCGATAAGATAACGAAATCGACACACACACAGAAATTCCCTCACACCATATAACGGATTCTTAGACCAATACAAATTGATGTGCGGCAGTTGAACTAGGCCCATACAAATCATAATACCTACGAATTTTTTCATTTCAGCAGATGTTGTGGGAAGCCAATCATTAGACCTTGATTTTGCAGAAGGTTGGTTAGATGATAAAAATTGAATAGCATACCTGTTTGTTTCTTGGGCCATGTAGTCCCAGAGCTCTTCGTCTAGAAAGTGGAGATAAATATCAATAGGTGAAGCCGGGTTGTCAACGTTAATGTTCACTTTTGAATTTCCACAAAACTCTTCAAAATAAACTGTCTCAGGTAAAGTAAAAGGTGATTTGTCTTCGACCCAACAGCACCCGAATTGGTTTATGTCAGGTCCTTCCGATGTGCTGGTACCACCTGAGGTCGTGATCGTGCCCCTACCACCTCCACCGACTGTTCCATCTTCCTCACCTCGTCCACCAACTGTTCCATCTTCGCCGCCTCCGCCGACTGTTCCATCGTCCCCGCCTCCGCCGACTGCTCCGTCGTCCCCGCCTTCGCCCATTGTCCAATCGTCTCCGCCTCCGCCGAGTGTGTGGTTGACAAGATGTCTGCCGGTTAGTTTACGGCGTTGGTCACAATCTTGACGAAATGTTCTCCCATCCGTCATCGCTGTCACATCCATCTCGCAGTTGTCATCTTCATCGTTTTCTCCATCGCCACCTGACGAAGCATCGTCCGATGATGGTACATAGTCAGGATCTTCAATATCGCTTCCATCGAAATCACATAGTTCTTGCTCATCGTCACTACTTTCGGATAATGCACTACTAGGTACCGGCCCATCCAATCCTTCCGTAACCAGTTGTTCCAAGAAAGCACTATTACTGGCATTCACAACAATAAGTTTTGGTCGTTTACGCGTATTGTACACCTTAGCAGGATCGTCAGGGACTTGAGGGTCGTCAGGGTTGTCCTCATCGGACGAAAACATACTTACAAAAACTCAATAAACAGTGTACACACAGTTAACCACACTAAAACGCAATGATTAGGTTAGCTTTCAATATACCAACAAATAACCCTAGCGCTCTCTGTTGATGTTAGACTACTATCGCCACCTGTGGCGCTTGGAGCAACTATTTTTGATACGAGATCCAGAGGTCTCGTATCGTAATAAAGTAAAGGTTTATTACTTCAGTGCGTTACGAGATCTATGTATCTCGTTTGTTTCATGAATGCCAGCTGTTTCAGCAATAAAAATACATTATTTATGTACAAGTTTCATTTATTTACGATAATCGTAGGTCAAAATATCAATGTCGTAATTTACGGAAAATAGAAAGTTGTCGGTCCCGCACCACGGGCTAGGTGCGATACGAGACCCCGGGATCTCGTAACGCAGTGAACGTGTTTAAATACACATACACAAACTATCTCACTGCTTCAGGTAGTTATATCTCATTCATCAGTGTCTGGAATAAATAAATTTACTCACCGGTGGTTTCAACCAGCATTGCAAAAACGGTTTCTTGCAGAGAAAAACAGAGATCTTCCGGAGTGTATTCGCCACTCTCGATGAGTTTCGCAGCTCGTTCCTCAATGAATGACAGAATACCAGAGAATGATACGTCCATCCCCTTCACAACATAAGGTAGAGGAAGATACTTCTTACCCCTGGAAATAAAGAAAGTATTCACTTTCACGAAACAAGTAGTTAAAACTTGAGGTAAACCTATTCTTTTTTTTCTTCAATTTAGGTTAATATATCGCCAATTTTTATGAAATTAAAATAAATATAGTTGATTGAGACAGTGTCCTGATGTCAATCACCTATTTCTGATACATGTTTTAACTGAGCCGAACTGGAAGGACGACTTCAACAAAGCATAAATGTTGTCAATTATCAAAGGGCCAAAAAAACTAAGAGAAAAAATAATTTTGACAGTGGCACACCTTGTGAAAGGCTCGCTTGACTATGTTTACCGATATATATTTATAAAGATAGGTTATCTTCCCTAGAATCTAATTAGCCGAAATATTGATTAGGTACCACATTTGGTTTGAAATTCACACTCACTTCTTGGCCAGCTGTTCTATGTTATAGCCTGGACTCGGGTCATTGGATAGCTGGATCACTCTGGCGAACCTGTCAAGGCAGTTACCGACCGCAATGTCGATAGTTTCCCCAAAGATTCGATACCTCCGTCTTGCATAAGCTATGACTTGTGTGTTGCCTCCGCTGACGTAGAGCACAGTAGGGTTGTTACTCTTAGTTACCAGACGACCCATCTCTATATCTGAACAAAGCTGAGGAAATTTGAAGTTTGAAACAATGAAAACAAACAGGTAACACAATTACTGTAATACTTATGGCGAATTAAACTATAAGCATACATGGCATCTTCTTACCAACAGGTGTAGGAAGATGAAGACAAATCAAGTGGGATCGTAGATTATTAAATATGAAGAAAAAACAAAAATCGGGGATGTTTAGGACATTACAATGTGAAACAAAATTGTTAGGATTATTGTATGGTTGTGAAGTAATACTGCTGAAATATGGATTTAAGGTTCACTTTGGAGACTTAAATTTAAATATAAGGCTACATAAATTATATTACTGCTGGACAGGGTTGGTAAATGTATGGTGTCTACTGTCCACCCCAAAGCTGGTTTAGGGAGTAGGCTATGACCAATTGACTGAGGAAAAAATTAAATTAGCAGAATAAGAAGCCAAAATATTCCAGACCGTCACAAAGTGTAAACTCTCAACACGCAATTCTTGGCCGACCTCCAAGGGATTTTTAGGCAAGTTCCACGGACACTATCACTAATGTTATTATTTACAACTGCGAGCGACTCTGGTAGCCAACTAGGGAACTTGGCAGCTTTAATAGTTACACAGTACGTTCCCTTTGCCTTTTGAACCAGGCACTTTTTGAGAACATTGAAATCAGGTGTCATAAGTCACATAATATCAGGCAGCATCATAGGGATGAGTTCCAAAATATGCATTCAATAAAGCACTTCTCTATCTCCCTACATGATCGGTGATTTAAACATGCATAGGCCTACATTGTTACAGATGAAGCAATACTAAATCTAACAAAATGGATTTTAATCCTATAAATTTGTTGTAGTAGGATACGACCAATACAGTGGTTGACACCGACGATTGGTTTATTCCAGAGTTGTGCCACTGTTCGCGCCACCACAGCCACAGACACCAGCGGTGCTCCCATCCCTGGTCCCTTTGTGTAGCAAACGACATCGATGTCCTCAGGCTTAACACCGGCGTCTTTTAAAGCTTCCTCTAACACCTCAAACACTTTGGCTCGGTGGTGTTGGGCTGTTTCTCTGGGCAAGAACCCTAAAAGTAAGATACATTTTCAACTTCAAGGAGGAGTAATAAAGTGGGATTCCATGACACCATATTACAATGCCATAAGGAACATTAAAACAATAAGATACTTAGCACTCAGAAACTCAATCTTTGACTGACAACAAAGTCTCACACCATTCTAAAGTTTACCCTAGGCCTAACTCTGGTCACTACTTCAAACGAATCTCAGAAGTACTCACATCCAGCCTAAACATGCACCACCTGTGAATTGCTTTCTCTCTTTCGTCACATCTTCTAAGTTTGAAAACTTTACTCCAGTCATGTCCGTCAACTGGTGTGGACTTCAATGAATAGGGGTCTCAAGCCGGGTTTACACGGTGACAGTAGGTGAAACAATTGTCCGAAGACAATTCAAATCATTATCAGATAAGTTAGTACAGGGGGATGGAGAACGGTCAGAATAGTAATAGGCCTACGGTACTTAGTAAGTTAGCACGACAGGAACTTGTTGGAGACCTTAATTTACAGAATGCCTAATATAGCTGGGTATAGCTGAGTGATTACAGCGTTCCCAAGACAATCAAAAGGTGCCAGATTTCAACATAAAAAAGTTGCAGCTTTTCGGTGGTTTGAAACTGCCCCAAAAAGACATAGCCTAATGATTTCAGGGCTGCACTTTACTTAAGGTCCTACACTCATTCGAATGAAAATATCGACTATCGATTGTTTCATTCGATATTTCGTTTGGTTAGTTAGGTTAGGTTGACCTTACCTAACTAACCAAACGATATATCGAATCAACAATCAATTAATCGATATTTTCATATTCATTTTCATTCAGATGTTGAAGTAGGATTTAGAATAACCACTTTTTCTAGAGTAACTTAGGCCTACTGTACCTTCTCCAGGCGGAGTTATGTAGGTGCGCCGTGGATTTGAGAGTACTTCACCATCTTTTACAATTCCAATGCCAAGCTTGTTTGCACTTCCTTCAAATCCAATAGCGATCACCATTTTGAGAAAAATATAGAACTATTTACACAAGACCATGTTAAAATACTAGTTGTTTTCTAGGTTAGAATTTTCACCGCACCGTGACTGTGAGAAGCTCAAGCTCAAGCTGAGCTGAGGGTTCCTCGGATCATCCATCATCCCTCCTCTCGCTCCCCTTCCTATATTAAAGTAGGGGCCAGGCAGGGGGCTCAGCTGATCCTGGACCTGGACGTCTGCTGTTTGCTAACCCAAAAAATGCTAACCAGCCGCCGTCGTCTGCAGCGGCAGCCGCCAATGCCAAATAGTCAGACACTCGAGCCGAGCTTGTTGTTGTGTTGACTGTAGGTTATGTTGTGTTTGTTTCACACGACGAGTTTTAACTTTAAGTTGTTGGTTTATGTTACTCACTGTCACTCCGCATTTCCTCACGTCTTTGAAACGGATTATTGGCTTAAGGCCAAGGCCATGATCTGCAGGTTTACTGAGTGTAGAAAGTGTCGTCAAAGTACTAAGCCGGGTTGAGCCCTAGCTTGGGAAACACATCGCTGGTGAGTCAATAACCTATAACACTCTGTATAAGGTTTATATCACGCTCATGCAGTATTAATAACTCTCGTCCTACACTAATTTATTACCAAACACAACAGTGTATCATGCCTATAATAAGTAATGATGTTATAACTAAAGTTAGCCTTCTAACCTATAACCTTAGTTAAGACTGGTAGGCTATGCCTTGGGCTAGGCTAGACAGATGGATAGGCTAGTTTGACCCCCCCCCCCTCAAAATAGGCAAGTTACAAATCAGTGTCACCGGACATAAACTATACACAAAAACGAGCTTCAAAATTTACGGCTGCACTTTACTTTAGGTCCTACACTCATTCGAATGAAAAGATCGTTTAGTCGATTGTTTCATTCGATATATCGTTTGGTTAGTTAGGTTAGGTTAACCTTACCTAACTAACCAAACGATAAATCGAATGAAACAATCGATATATCGATCGATATTTTCATTCGAATGAGTGTAGGACCTAAAGTAAAGTGCAGCCAAATTTACAATGGGATGAGAAGTCTACTATTAGTCTATGATTAACTTATACATTGTGTACATCAACGATAAAAACAATACACCAACATGCAAACAAAAAGTTTAGCAGTAGTCCCCATATCTTTCTCTCTCTCCCTCTTTGACAAAGGTAATTAAAGAAAAAAAATGTCAATGAGGCATTGTGATGCATGACGATAAAAAAAAACAACTAAAAACAAAATTTACAATTACAGATCGTTATATGTTAGCTAATTGTAAATTATTTTATTAATGCATGCCATTTGATAGGACATTTAAAATGCCAAATAAAAGTGTTCTTGGCTTTTTCATAAAACTTGGCATTTTTATAAAATAAAGCTATAAAAACTCAAATGGCCTCCGGTTTGAAATTTTCAATTGCACCAATTTTCTTTATTCAACATAGGATTTTTTTACTTTAAAATACCTACGGTACTAAGTTTTATAAAGATTTTTTGTAAAAATTAAAATGTAAAATGTTTTACTAACAAAACAAAATGTTGGGTATCTGGTTAATAAAGCGATTTTGAGAAGAATTTTATGCTTGATTTTCTCTTAATTTTGACTAGTAAAACCATTTTACAGATTTTGGTTGTTTACTTTTGGACAACCGGAACCTCAAATAATCATTGCTAAATTTTTTTTAAAGTAAAATTTTGATTAATTAAATATTCCTAAGTTTGAATTAAAATTGTCAAATAAGAAGGTTTATAGTTAATCAACTAGGCTAATTAGGCTTTTTTGTTTTCCACTTATACTCTTCATTATGACATAAATTTTTTCACTTGTCATTATAATTTTCTTGTGATAACAATTTTAATTTTACCATTTTCACCATCATATTTACTCGTTAATTTCACGTGAAAAACTTTTAAATTTTCATTTTCACGTGTTCGCCATTTTTTCACAAAGTGTGCTGACTGGGAGTTGGATAATTAATTAACAAGTGTGAAAGATGTGTCAACGTGTGTTTAAATTTAATCCAATTATTGTCAATATAGAAAGTTTCTACTGGAAAGTTTTATTGGAATATCTAGTTTGTTCATACTTTTTTGTTTTTTTAAGTAAAAAGTGAAATTTAAGATGTTTTTTTCTGTTTGGTAAACAAATGTTTGTACTTAACTTAATTAATATTTTTTAGCTTGTTATCTAAGACTTATTGATAGATCTTGATAATAGTGATAACTTTCTGTTCATTATGTAAATTTCCTTATTACCGTTGATAAATGTGGCTTGTATGTTTTTAATGATGGCCATTGTAATAGCCTTTTTACAGTTAGTAAAAAATACTAAATAGATAGTTGGTAATGTCCTAGTTTGAGTACTTGAGGTCAATGTATTGCCTTAGAACAACAATTTGGTGAGTTTAAATCAGAATACTTGTGATTCCAGGCATTTGCAGCGTTTTTGGGATGCTTCTGGAGATTTTTGGCAGGCAGGATGGGATCAGATATTGGACACGGTGGGCGAGAATCCCGTGACTTTCTGGGTTTATGGTAAGTAAATAGGCTATATTATTTAATCTACTTAATTTTTTCGGAATTTCAAAATTTTGGATTGATTCTTTAGGATTAGGTTAAAGTGAAGTTTGAACAACAACAATTTCAATGGCATTGGTTTGTATCCCACTATGCTACCAACTTTTATCTTATTTTAGTATGTTTTCTTTTGTCTTATTTTTTGTTTGTTTTTATACTATGTAAAGAGACTTACCTTTTGCTGTTAAAAACCATACCAAATCTCTGAAGTCCATGTTGATGGAATATTACTAGAAAAATGAGAAGTACTTTCACAATATGGCCTATGGTGAATAACCAACAATGATTGTGAGCTAGGAGAAAATAAACAAATATTCTATACGATTTGACGGAGCCATTAGACTATTGCAGGCTGATCACTAACAATCAATGTCTAAACATTGGGCTACTGTGTATGACATTGTTGAACAGTTTAATGTTTTCCCGTAGGATCACTCATCTGGACCTTGTCCGTTTACTGGACCCTGGGCGCCATCTACACTGTGCTAGATGTCGTCAACAAACCTGCGGCTTTGCGGAGATACAAGACACAGCCGGGCACCAACGAACCCGTGGAGACCAAGAAACTCATCAAGGTGGGCTCAGTAGTTTCAACAAGGCTTGTTTATTGTAGCCTAATAAAACAATATGCAGGGTCATTGGTGAGCGTATCAATCAAACGATTGATTTGTTCTAGTTCAGTGTATGGATAGTCTTTTAAATTTTATGTTCTGCACTCAGTGTGCATGCAGGCGTAGTTGTAGTAGGTCAGATTTTGAATTTATTGTTCCTTCTTGTTTATTTAAATTGATTGATAGGCCTACTTTGTATACTTGAGCACTATTGAAAATCTTCAAATAAAGCGGCGTAGAGCCATTTTTGCATAACTCAAATTGGGATTATTTATTGGCTGCTGTGTATCGGTTGTATATGTTACTGTTGCATTGTTTAAGGAAAATAATCATCTAACAAGCTTTAGTTTGCTGCACATATAACAGGGGTGCCCATCCCCCCCTAGACTCATGACGCACCCCCCCCCCCAATTGAGCAACAGCCCCCCCCCCACCATAAATGAGGTACACAACAAATGAGAAACATTATTCCCCCGCCCAGCACTATTTGTAAAACTAAAAGAAGTTTTATACATTTGTTTTAGATATTGAAAATTCAAACCCAGTTAATTTAAATAAATAAAGTTATGGTTTTGTCTGTACATTGCTCAGAATTATACATATTTTGGGTTATTTTTACGTTTTATACATTGAAGAAATTGAAACATGTCTTATCTCAATTTATGTCCGTCTGTCACGGCCCAGAAGGCATTTTACGCAGCCTACTCTAAAGAAAACTAGAGTACCGATTATGATTCTAATGGTTTAAGAGTGAAAATTTAAAAACGTACGTTTTCATGTCCCTGGCCTTTTACTTCGTAGGTACTGGATTTGTAGTTTATTATTATGGGTTTTAATATTTTTTGGGACGGGGGCAACATGTTACACACATTTATTTAGTTTTAAATAGGTTCTAGGTATTTTTTTCGTATTTTTAAAGTCTCGAAATTCACGACCATGACGTGTCCCTAGGGTACATTTTCCAACTTTCACGCTGTTTTTAGACTAATTATTCATGCCGAAATATTTAAAGCCATATTTTTATGTCATCAATGGTTATTAAACTTACAAAAAAGGAGCATATTATAATTTTATTGTCATTACAAACTGACTACCATGACAAAATAAGTCTGTCCCTCGATTTGGCGTCACGACCATTTAGGGAAAATTTTCATCTTTGGAGCACGACAGTGGCAAGCCTGGCGTCGATGGAGTCAGTTGGTTTTAGAGAGTAGTTCGGGGTGTACGTCAGGATTGTAGTGCCGGTCGTTTCGAGTTGAAAGGAGGAATTACAAGATTAATAAAGGAAAGATAGTGTTTTTTGTAATTTTGGTGTGTCCATGACCGTACGTAGTCATTCGATGAAGTAGACATGGTGTTAATTTTTGTTTATAAGATATTTCAATTGCTAGATTAGCCTAGAAGTCCACTTTGTATCCTCGAACATGAGGTGCAGGGCTACCGCCAGAACAGAGCCAAATAACACGTAATTTCACGACCAAAGTTTCACGACCATCGCGGTTTTTTTCACGACCAATCCAGCCTTATGGATTATAGTGAGTTTGGTCGTGACAATAACTTTAATATAATTGTAAATTGAACAGTTTAGTTCAATTGAAACACATAGTTTTATTATAACTAACAGTATAATTGAAGGATTGTTTGGAAAGATTTAGATTATTCCAGACAATTCACGACCGTACCGCTTGTCCCTGACCATTACGTTTATGATTTCTATCATAAAAATTTCAAAAATTAAAATATCGTCATATTTCAATGTTTTATACACAAAAGAAGCACACCTCTATACAAACATAACGATTTTTCGGGTCTCAGGTAAGTTTTTTCGGAGTTATACAAACTTAAAAAGATTTTATTGGCTTTTTTCTATTTAATGAGTTTTTAAAATTTTTTTCTAGAAAGACCAAATATACCAAAAGCTCAGTGACCTTTTTATTGTATAATGGTCATAAAAGTAAATTAGTTTATAGCAAAACATAGTAATAAAAATAATATTAACTATTTTTAATATTCATTTAAACGTCCGTTATGGTTGTGACAGGATTTTGTGTTTTTCTACTAAAGATGCTCTTTAAAAAGAAAACTACCAAAGATATTGCGTTACCATGGACATTTTATGAAACTTAAAATGTTAATGAAATAAAAATAATAATAAAAGTTTTGAAAAAAGGGGAAAAAAATTTGCAAAGTGCTTTTCCTGAAAACGTACGTTTTTAAATTTTCACTCTTAATTGTATTCACAGTATTGGCGAGAGTGTCCTTAGCCAATCAAATATGGCCTCACTATTTTGGAAATAAAATAACGGACGATCAAAAACCCAATTTTTTTGTGATTTTTCTAGTTTTTTTCTCCATGTTTACTACATACGTCATTTATGAAATAATAATAATCTGTTAAAAGAAAACGTCATATATTAAATTACGAACAGCTGTTTTGATAAAGATTCATTTTTCTAGCTGTCACTGATATCTTTACATAAATGTTTTATACGAATACTGTGTAAGCCCTAACCATTTCCGATCACGTTTGTAAGCAAATCCAAAACCCAGTGAGATTAATAACTGTGTGTTTTTGGCTTACATAACGGGTTTGATTTATCACGGGTACTAATATGTATATGTAACTGTAAATTAAATTAAATAACTAGCCATCATCCAGGTCGGGAACCGGAGATTCTGTGTGTATCAAGTTGTACTTTAATTTTGATTACCGGGAAAAGACCGTGAATTGGTGTTGTACAGGACTGGGAAACTTATCTTTCTATGTAAACAAACTTAGTGTTTTATAAGTCACCTCAATTTAAGGAATTTGTTACAGTATTGCCAGAATATCTGTATAGCGTTCGTAACCTCTGCTTAACGAACTGTCAGCGTCTTTCTCTTGATATAACGACCACCTCTCCCTCCCTTTGGAAACATCATAGCTCCTTTGATAAAAATGAAATGGAAACAACGCTTGCGCCAACAATCGTCTGCTCCGTTTTACACTTCTGTCTGCTGTGCGCTATGTTACAACAGATTTCAGATACAACAGCTGGGGAATGGTGACGATGCTTAGTAAACTGTGATTGAGTGATTAGTAACCATGGTAACTTTAGTAAGGCTGTGATTGGGCAATGAATAGGCCTAAATATGGCGACTTGATGAATTTGTGTATGAATTGAAGAAAAACCTAATATAGAACCTAAGAACAAAGAAAAAGAATAACAAGATTGTTCTCGTCACATTCTTTTTTAAGAGTGTTTTTATTATCTCTAAATATAATTTTACACTTTTTTTGTTACTTATCTATCAATTCCTATGCTGTGACACAGCACCTACTGGTAGCCTATCCGTCTATCATGAGCAGTAGTTTATAACACTTTCTAAAGGGTCCTTTCATATTTACGTTATTTATAGCAAAGCAGTGTTTGGCTAGTTATTAGTTGAGTTTGAGTTAACCATAATTTAAAGTTTCCGTTTGTGCTACTGAACCAAGATAAATGATTTGAAATGTACAATAATAATATTATTGCACAATAATACAGTAATGTTATTGCACAATAATAATGATTGTGCAATATTGCATTTCGTTTATAAAAATGCAAATCGTGATGATATTGGCTGTTTACAGCGTTTTAATGGGTTTGTAATAAGTTATGTTTATTTATACTATAATGGATTAACCGTATTTTTCAATACCCCCCTCCCTATTCACTCAGGTAATCACACAATAGAGTAAAGTATTGTAGCCTATGCTACTTAATTGTATTTGAACAAGTTTTATGTCAACAAACAAAGCGTTTTGTGCTAACTCGCGGTGTAGCTGGACGTGTCTGTACCACGCGTTATCTTTTATCTAACACAGCAGCTGAGCCATTCCGTGCCCTCCCTCTTAAATCTCACGTCTTGCTAATCTTGAATAATAACTTCCTCCACGAATCCTACACTATCCTAAAATCCTATTTTAACTAATTGAATTCAATAATATAACTATTGTCATTAATTAATCGACTTTATATCTGGTGACTTCATATTGATTATCGTCACGTTAAACATAGTTGCAATTAACTTTAGCCACCCCCCCCCCCCCATTTGAAATTTTGCAACCCCCCCAAGAATTTCAATGACGCAGTCTGCGTCACAGCCCCCCCTTGTGGGCACCCCTGCATATAATTAATGCAGGCCCATAATACATATGCTAAGTGTCTCCTTGGTAGCATGGAATGAAGTGCATTGTGTTCTTTCAAATTTCTATCGATTTGCGAGAGTGACAAGAATGTCTTTAAGGGTACACTCTACCCCTGCCGTTACGTGTAAATGCAAGGGTCTGGGGCAACAGTGTTTCCGAAGGCTACATTTCACGTAGAATCAAAATTAGGGTGTCGTTTTGAAGAAAATAAATCATCTAAAATATGATGGCTGCAAAATGTTTATTATTGTACCATAAAGACCCAAAAACTTCTCTTGAATGGAGACAAAAAACGGCAACTTTAAACTGCTTTAACTTATTATGGAATTGTTACTTTAAAATTCTAAAACCAGGGTCTTAGATAGATTGGTTTTTTGTTCTGTAAAATCCCACTCATTGTTTTTTACTAGCATGTATGGGTAGTTTACAAAGGCAGTTGCCGTGAACGTCTGCAAGCGCTTCTCGCAGCGCTGTTCAATGGCGCAACATATCTACTAAAGCCCGAGCTGAGATTTCTGAGCTGAGGTATAGCGCACCCTTAAGTTCTAAAACACTGAGATGTTTTAGTAAATAAAAAAAGCTACACCCTTACACACTAAGTGCCTAAGGTTGCTTTGCATGGTTACATGCGGTAAATAAATTTAATTCTGTGGTGCTGTTAGATGTTATAGATATTGAAACAAAGGCAGGGATGTCATGAGTTTGTGTTCCAGTCATTTAAAATGTATCATTACTAAGCTTTCTTCTACTGTACTGCCTCACCGTCCTTGCCTTGCCTTGCTGGATATGTTGCAAGCACAGAGCCAACCCCTGCAAGGTAGCCACAAGACTAACATTATCCTGTGTTTGTTGTAGGTGATATGCCAGGTGTTGTTTAACCAGTTGGTGGTGGGGTTACCTGTGGCATACCTGAGCTACTACCTGATGATGTGGCGAGGTGGTGCTCCTCTCAGAGAGTTACCTACCTTCCATTGGGTGTTGGCTGAACTAGCTCTGTTCATTATCATTGAAGAGATCGGCTTTTACTATTCTCACAGGTACATTTGTTACTTTGGATTCATTTTTTAAATCAAGAATATTGTTTCCCTTTTATTGTTTGACAGATTTCAATGTACAGAACCTACTAAAAATGTATCACATTAATATTGCTACCCTTGTTCTATATTATCTTTTTGAGGGGCGATTGTAAGCTGTGAAAATGAAAAGGATTTAATTAGGATTGTAAAACATACACAAAAAATGAGTTATTGTGTTTTTTTAACTTAAATTTCATCATTGGTCATTGGACAATGTGTTTTCTGGCGCCAAAGTAAGTGTGGACAGCTTGTGGTCATCACTATCTACTATCTATTACTATACTAGGTGTTGAGAACTCTTTCATGACCAGTATTTTGTGGGGTTTAAGTATAACAGCAGGAGCCGACTTACCTAACTGTCAAAGATAGTAGAAAGTATACAAATAAATGCACCAATTTGAACAAACGGTGTAACAGACATAAAGCTTACCATGAACTCTGTGTAAAAACACATAATTTACATAGCCTATATACAATTATTTCTCAAAAAGACTATATTTATCAATGTGTGATTCAAATCATATGTTTTGTTTGTTTAATGTGTAAAAACACATAATTTACATAGCCTATATACAATTATTTCTCAAAAAGACTATATTTATCAATGTGTGATTCAAATCAAACTCTAAAGCAAAATTTTTCTCCCTTTTAATGGATATTCATGAAAATATATATTATGAAAGGATATCCATGAAAAGAGTGGCAATGAATTTTGTAAAACTTTTATTTACTTTGTGGACACATTATTTTAAGATGTATAACTATCACCGGTCAGGTTGCTTCACTGGCGCCACCTCTACAAGCACATACACAAGCGCCACCACGAGTGGACCGCACCAGTGGCTGTCACTGCCATGTACTGTCACCCGGTGGAGCATGTGCTTAGCAACCTACTGCCTCCCATCTTGGGCGTGTTCATCGCGGGGGCACACGTAGCCACTTCTAACCTCTGGTTCACCCTGGCCATCATCAACACACTCAACGCCCACTCCGGCTATCACTGGCCCTTCTTCCCGTCGCCCGAGGCACACGATTTTCACCACCTTAAGTGAGTTGTAAAAGAATATTAGAATATTTAAAATCCGTTGATGTTGTACATCCTCAAAAATGCGTAATTCCCTATATTTACAGTAGGTTTTTGTCGCAGCACAGTTGAAAAATAACGGTATATATTGACATGTATACACTGTAAATAAAATTATAGTACTATCCTATGGGCGCTATCAGGGCTTATATATACTGCATTATATATACAGGCTTACGGTATATACTGTACTGTACATTTTCATGTTGATTTAACAATTTTTAACTTTTTTAGTTTTAATAAAAACACAACAAACCATACATAATTTTAAAGAGGAAATCAAGAGCTAACGCTCGCCGCTGCGTAAACATTGCTGCCGATACACTGAATTACAGTAAAAACAACAGTAGTTGTACTAGATGGCAATGTTCTGCAATAAAACTGGCTTTGGACATAGTACTAAGTGATTCTGATAGATAGCAGTACTACCCAGGTTGCAGTCGGTAAAGTAGTGTCGCTATCTAGCAGGAAAGAGGTGGGACAAAGCCCTGTTCTAAATGACCCTGGTGGTGATTTTGAGAAACTACCTGTATTTTTTATTGTCAGAAAAGTACGTCCCCACGAGCTGCAAAGAAATATAGGACGCTCGTGACGAGCTGGCTGATCCATGGTAACGTTAAACATCAATAAACGGTGACGTTCCGGAACGTTCCTAGCTCCTGGCGCCGTGGCCCGTTTGACGTTCCGGAGCGTCCTTAGCAGCGAACGTGTTGAAAAAATATAATAAGTTATAGGGTATTACAAATTTTTTTATATAAAAAAATACATAGCCTAAGAAAAAATAGCTACGTATTGACAGAGTTCATATAAAATTAACCCCGATGTTTTTATTTATTTTTTATGCATTCATATTAATAGATAATATATATATATATATATATATTATAATTTCTTAAGTAATTTTTTTTGCGGTAGACCTTAATCAAATTAATAAATTAAATAAAAAATCCGGTTCGGGTGTCCAGCTTACATTTAGTTATCTGTAGAATTGATTAACAAACATGGCATGTACCAAACAAAGTTTATCCAACAGGTTCTCCAAAATGTTAAATCAATTCAAACATAAAAAAATTACCACCTAAGATAGCAAGAAAATAAAATCTAAAGCCAGTAGTATAAAAAAGAATGAAACAAAATATACTAGGTAAGCTTTTGTAGTAAAAAAAATTATCTCCAACAGTTGGTGGCCACCTAACTTAATAATATTTTTTTACAAGTACATTATTTTGAGTGCCATAATCTAGAATAGTTCAGGCCAATTTAATTTAAACCCAGGGTCTGTAGTAAAAAGGTTTCCCTAATGGGAAATAGCTAAGCTAACTCAAAACTAAACAAATATAAATCAGCTCTGAGCATTTAAAAATAGTTGATAACTTGACAAAGTTCAGGTACTCTCTGGCTGCTTAGTTGGTGGTTGGTGGTGTAGAGGGCAGACCAGTCAGGGCAATGTTACTGGAGGGCCTCAGTAGTATGCTTGCTACCATGTGTTTTAATGACTGTACTCCAAAAGTGGTGGCTCTTGTGTTTAAGTTGCCCATAATTAACCTTTTAAGTTAATTAACTTAAGAGAGAAACTAATTGCAGAAATTTAATAACATTAAAGTACAAGCACAAATTTCTATGGGCGGCCTTGTCGAAGTATGCTATCACTATGAACTGAAATCTGCCGTTCCCATGTAATGAACGATATAAACAATTTGACATTATAGATATCAGATTTAGTAACTCCGTCCGTACTTGCTTTCCGGCAAAACAATCTTGCATTTTCCTGTTACTACTAGGTTACGGTTAGGTTAGGCACATGTAGCGTAGCAGTATTTAAAACCCAAATATTTTTGCCGGAAACCAAAATAACTGACTAAACTAATCTAACCAAACCTAACCCAACCTATCCTAACCTAACCGATTTGAAGCGGCTGTTAATGAATGACAATGCGCAACTCCCTTTGACCTTCAAATAATCGTCTGCTCGAATTCTTGCTTTAGGGCAAAAAATTCTCGCATTTTCCAGTTACTACTAACCAACAGAACAATCAACGGTTATATGAGAAAAATTAAAGTTGACCTTGGCTCAGGATTACCATTCATTCTTTGTAGATGGCACTCAGTAATGTGACACTGCTTGTGTTCCAAATTTACTGAATAAGCGAGGGTCTACTAAATGAGCGTATTGTTTTTGTTTCCTTTTCCATTCACGTTCTGTTAATCTCAACAGGTTTAATCAATATTTCGGAGTGCTAGGCGTGTTGGATCACTTGCACGGGACTGACACAGCATTCCGCAAATCCCGGTCATACGCCCGACACACCACCTTGCTGACACTAGTGCCTGCCAGAGAAGTGTACCCTGACAACCCAAGTGGAAACAATAAGTGAGTCATAAGCAGAGTTTACAGCGATAAAAACACTACAATTTGGCATTTTTTCCTTCAGTTCTTTGGCATGATGGAAAACACAGATGTAACTAGCTTATTCCCTTATTGAATTTGTTAAGTGTCAGAGGTACTTTTGTTCTTCTGGAGCATTAGTCTTTGAACTCTTCGTTGTTAACAAATAATTACAAAGAATGCATAAGGCTACAATTACTTGCCTTTGCTGGATTTCTAAAGTTTGCAAGAGGATATTTAAAGCAAATTATATTCCAATACATTTAAGGTTTGTGATCCATCCAACTTTATTTACCTAACCAAGACTTTGCTCAATATAAATCTCTCTAAAATCTTACATGACCAGTTGGAGGGGATTTTGGCAAACTGATCGTTTTGGTTTTGACAATTAGGTACAATTAGGTTTGCAATTAGGTCTATATAAGTTTTAGCATTTAGGTAACAATTTGGCCAAACTAAAATTGAACTGCAGCAGTGTAACATTGTTTGGTGTTTGAGAGTTTAGTTCTTGGGTAATTATTCTTATTGCTTGGGTTTAGTTTCAGATCAAAAGACGCTGAAATGTTTTGAATGTTGCCTGAATTTAATTAGATTTGTGACCCAAAGCATAAATACGAGTTTATAAATTCATTGATCTAATATTATTGTTTTGAAATAAAATGTGAGCATAAACTAAAAAACAATGCTCAACTACTAGCGTAGGGGTTAGTGTGATTATACTCACTATATGGGCCCATCACAAAGTAATCAGAGCAGACGGAAGAAAACCATTCCTGCCAGTATGGTGCTGCTACACAGTTGCATAGTTCACCAACAGGCATGAATATTCAAATTCAAAGCGAAATTCAAATTATTTTCTCAAATTACAGTTTGACATACAATACAAAGTTTTGTTGTTGTTTGTCTCTTAAACAACAGAATCAACCTATATAATATGTATATTATACATATCTTAATACCTTTCTTGTATGTATACAAGAAAATGTAAATGAAACATTTTATATGCATAGGCTTAACATAGATGTATTCTTTGTACCTAATTTTATCAAAAAGACAGAAAATTCATTAATTTTGTTTGTTAAAAATAAAACTATTTTAAACTGCAACTGAGAAAATATTGGGCCTCTAAGGCAAATTCCTGGTTAAAAGTTCCTTTAAACTCTAACTAGAAATATTATGTCAGCATTCCAGATAACTAACCAATGCCCATCTAGCATTGATTTCAATAACTAATAACTCTACAGCAAGCAAATATGTCGCAAGTAAATTTGCTAATGGCACTAGGTTGGGAGTATACTGACTCATAGCATCCAAATTGTTAATTTTAAATGATATGTGATTTATACAGTTTATCTTTAGTGCTCATGGCAAGATGATTTTTTGTGTGTCATATACAGGGTTCATTCAATAAGTATCGGGACTTGTTCACTGTAGCCTCAAGAGAACAGTGGAGAGGGGTCGGACCAGTTGGATTCGATAGAGTGGTCCTTCACTGTTCAGGAGCAATTTCATTTAGTCGTCTACGGGCATTCGTTGATACAGGAGGTTGATTTTTGCGCTGAGTGTTTTTTTTCATTGTGTTGTCATGCCAATAGGGAGCGTACCGTCGAGCAACGCTGAGAAGTTTTGCTTTAAACATGGGAAATCTGTGTTAAAGACTCTTGCTCCTAATTCAAACATTTTGTTTCTGGGTCATACTGGAACACCCAGGTAATAACGTTATCCTCAAAATGTTGATCTTCCTGGATGGAGTCCCATGATCTCTTGCTGAATTTCCACCCTTGACAGTGTTTCTTCCCAACTCAGGACTTTGGGCACCAGCTTCGGGCAGACTCTTCTCATCGCCAAATTCTCCGTCATGATAGTGTGGACGGTTCCCACTGAAACGGTCTTCTCACTGGTGTGGGCGATGGTTAGATGCCTGTCAGAATCCAAAACTTGTTTCACTTCGACCACGTGAGCCTCGGTTTGAGCGGTCGTTGGGCGTCCTTCGCGGTGCTCGTCTTTGACGAGTTCCTGGCCTTCCTTAAACATCTGGCTTAACTCAAAAACTTTTGTGCGGCTTTAAGCATCATCCCAATAAGCCTGTTTAAGGGAGAGTAAGGGTCTCCGATGCGGATTTTCTGAGTTTAACCCTTTGAGTGCCAACGTCTGGGGAACCGGACGTTTTTAAAACGAGCCAAAAGTGCCGACGTCCGGCCGACCGGACGTTTTTAGAACAAGCCAAAAGTGCCAACGTCCGGCTGACCGGACGTTTCGTAATGATCGAACAGTTGTCATAACAACCGAATGGATACTCGGATTCTTTTAACCCATATATTAACCCATATTATTACATTGAGTCGAAAGTTACTAGATGCGATACATCGATTTTCGTTGGTCGAAATATCGAAAATTTGATTTTTACGAAATTTTAACCTAAAAATCGCCAGATCGCGCTCGGCATTTTTAGCGCGACCTTCGGGAAAAATCATCGTCATTTTTTGAGCGTTACTTTTATTTCTCGCCTGGCACTCTAAGGGTTAAAGCAAAACTTCACAACGTTGCTCATCAGCACGCTACATGTTTGCATGACGACACAGTGAAAAAACACTCAGAGCAAATATTAACCTACTGTATATACAAATGCCCTTAGACAACTAAACCAAAGTGCTCCTGTATCCTGTATGGTAAAAGACCCCTCTCCTCTGCTCTTTTGAGGCTACAGTGAACCAGTCCCAATACTTTTAGCGAATTTCCCTATAGGGAAGTAGCTATTACCGTAGGTGGCACGGTAAGACCTAGACCCGGGACCGATTTACTTTTTCATTTTGATGTCCCCAGAGGCCAAAAACACTATTCGTTCAAATTTTTATATATGTATATATATATATATATATAGACTTATATATATATATATATATATATACGTCCGTGAACGCGATAACTTGAGTAATTTTTGTCCGATTTTGATGAAATTTGGTTTAAAGGTGTAAAGCGGGATAAACTTGAATGAGTTCGCGAACCAGCACGATCGGACCATGGGAACGGGGCTTTACGGGGGGTTTTATGGGGTAAAAATTGGTTTTTCTCACTTTTGACCCTCAAAACACAAAATTTCCCAATTTCTCTTTAGACCTTTTTAAAGAGCTTAAAAAAACAAATAATTTAGTATATAAAAGTATTTTTGTTCGATTATTAGTAACGGATAAAATTAAAAAAAATTGTAAGTTTAAAATTCCCATGTTATTCTTATGGAGAATATTGTCAAATGTTGTAGTTTGCTTGTTTATGAATATATTTTGATCAAACTTGGCAAATTTATTTATTTTGTACTAAGCTATCAATATTTTACTCAAAAACACACTTTATTAGTTTCCTTGTAGCAGCAAACCTAGGTACTTGTTAAACCTAATGTTATTAAAATATATTTAACTGAAAATCAATTCAGACAAATGGAAATTCGCTTAGTCGGCAGGTTTGCTGCGGCGGGGGTATTGTTATCCATAAAACATCTTTTCTATTTGCAGGTAGTGAACATTGTGTCATGGTGAACGTAACTCCGCAGTCAGGAAACGTTTGTTCACACAGTTTGCACTTGGGTATATTCTATAGCTATAAAATACCAATGGCATTACACTGCTTTGATGAAATAGTATCATGTATCAAAGCATGTGAAATACTCGATATTGTCAGTGCATTTTCATAGCTAAAATTCAAACTGTGGTTTTAGTATGTGTTTGATCTTTTAGTTTTAAATGTTATTTTTTTTTTTTATTCATTTGACAAAGTAATAAAAAAGTTATTTTTGACAAGGGTCTTTAAAAGGACCTAAACGTTTATGCTTTGACAACTAAATTTAGCTCAGCACCGAAGATTATTATAATATTAAGCTAATTATTGAAGATAATTTTAATGATTGTGTTGTAAACAAACCTTGATAATTTAACAATAAAATTAGAGTTATTATTTCATTATTGAAAGGTGCAGTGTTTTTATCCGTTTGTATTATAACTGTGCAATATAATAATCATCATGTAGTCATTTGAATAAAATTACTGTTTTGTTTGAGCACAAATCTTGAGCAGTCATCACTTACAGGACAGCTCAATACCACTGACAATGAAGTTTCAAACTTTTTAGTCTCCTCAATTGTATTAATGTGTTTCATGTGTAAATACTAGTAGACATTTTATATAATTTTCATTTATCAATGGTTACTGCATCTCTCTTCACTCAAAAGAAAAATTAGAGCAATGCAGTTGAACTTTTGGTTCTTTTGATCGAAAAAATTTAAATACCACGGTACTCTTAAAAAAATGAACTTTCGTGAAAAACTTAAATTACCTCTATGAATTGAGAGCGAAAGTGATCTTGTACAAAGGTAAACCTGATCTTTATCTGAAAAACCTTAATTATAAACATACATCAACCAGGTGTTGTAAAATAGCATACAAACTCAACACAACATAATAACTTTGTTTATTGACATTAATAAATAATGTCACTAATTTCAGCATGTGTCAACAGTGTATTATGTACGGACCTTTACATAATCAGAATGTAAACTAAGAGTCGACCAAATAAAATTCTGCTTACAAATACTATAAAATAGCTAAAAATAAATATATCCATTATTTTAAAACATTGATTTTGCCTTTTTGAAAAATTATACATAATGCATCAACTTAGATCACTCAAAATGTAGTTTTTCCAAATCTTTTTAACAAACCAATTCTTCAAAGCAATTTTGAATTTAGTGCCTTCTAATTCCTTTATATTGTTGGGTAGGAGGTTGAAATAAATTGACCCCATCACAAAAGGACTTTGGCCAGTTCTGTTGAAATTCCTCCTCACTTGGTGAAAATCATCCTTGGGTCTTGTGTCGTACCTGTGGATTTGACTATTTTTATTTGTGTGCTTTACATAATTTTTCACAAGCATAATTAATTGATACATGTATAGTCCATACAAAGTGAGGAGATTTAAATTAACAAAAATATCTTTACAAGACCTTTTGTACAATACTTTGGCTATCAGCCTGATTGCTCTTTAATGGAGAACAAAAATTGTATGTAAATTACAGTCAGGAGAACTTCCCAGAAAATAAGCCCAATAAGACAAGAAAGGAAATATGACAACAACACAAATTCTTTTTAACGTATCTGTATCTAAATAAAAAGATATTCTTCTGAGGAGGCTGATTCCACTTAGTCTTGATCTTACATGAGATATATGATTCTTAAAAGTTAAGGTCTGATCTTTAGTCCTAAAAACTTACAGCACTCTTTACTTTCAAAGATCACATCATCCTTAACTAAATCTATCCGAAAACTACAATTTCTGTCTTAACAAGGTTGACTTTGAAATTAATATTTTCAAAATATGAGCTAGCTTTATGTACAAAATCGGCCATGCCCTGCTTGAGTTTATAAAAAGACTGAGCCCAGCATACACCTGACGTCAGCATACATACTAATTTCAACATTGATAGCAGAAAAATTACTAACATAGATATTATACAGATGAGGGCCCAAAATGGACCCTTGTGGGGCTCCTGAAACAACATGTTTTTGTTCTGACATGACATTGTCCAATGACCAACCATTGTCATAAAAAACCTCGATTGGTTAAAAAGCTGCTAATCAACACTGTCAGCCAAGAAGGGAGGCCAATCTCAACTAACCTATTGACAAGGATTGCATGGTTGACCCTGTCAAAGGCTTTAGAAAGATCCAAACACACCCCAGCCACTTTACAACCACTATCCAACTTGTTCAAGGCAGTGTGGACAAATTCTGCAGCAGCCGAGGTAATACTCCTACTCTCCCTAAAGCCGTGTTGGCATTCAGGTAATATTTCATGCTCAATATTGAACTTTTTAAGGTGCTTAAGCATAAGTTTCTCCACAACCTTACTAAAAGTGGATGTCAAAGAGATGGGCCGATAATTGGAAGCATTATCTTTCGGACCCTTTTTGTGCAATTGTTTTACAACAGTTAGTTTTAAAAAATCGGGGAAAATACCACTATCAACTGTATATTGTAACAAATGACACAAAATAGGAGCAAGTTCATATTTACTAACTAATATGAAACGTAGCTTCTATCTTCAAACGTGACTTAATAAAAATCAAAAGTAGTTCAAGTTTATTAAAAAAGTACGGTATAGTTGCTATTTATTTATTTATTAACAGAAATGGATTTTGATTTATACAGTACAAATTTATAATACTACCCACAAGATTAATATTTACAAAATACTACACAATAGGATAACAAAACGTAATTGGTATGGGCAAGTTACATCAAATTGGAGGTTTCTGAGAAGGTATCAAGAAGGTTGGTGTGCATGTTGCTCCATCATACTGGTACAGTACCTGAAAAAATAATGAAGATTTAGATTATAAATCAAAGTCAGTCAATTATAACCACTACTCATTTGATACCATCATATGTCATTCTCTAAGAATATTTATTTTCCCTTTGACAAAGTACATGCATTTGGAGGTCAGTTAAGGAAGGCATAATGATCACAAATTTTACTATTTCAAATTCAATCAACATGCTTCTACAAAAACTCTCAAAAGTTTTACAATAAATAAATAAATACATAAATTAATGATAATAAATAATCACTGTATGTTCACAACTAAAAACTGAAAGATGCAAGATCTAAATACACATGCAAGTCAAATAAATATCACATATCAAGAGTCAAAACTAAAAAATAGGTACTTACGGATGCTGGTATATTAAAAAATCATATCAGGAATACAGTGGGTTGGCCAATAAAAGGTTTCTGAGGTTGGTTTTGAATTTTGAAAAATTTTCTACCTAATACCATATGTTTTATCTATGCTAATACAGTAGAATCTCGCTAATTCGAATTTCAGAGGAAGACCAGTATATTTCCAATTATTTTATGGGAAGTTTGAAATATCGAGAGTTTGATTTATGACGTCATTCCCGCGCGTTATAAGCTATGCCACGTTTTGAAAATTATTATAAGCTATAGAACAAACGAGATTTTATAAGCTGCAGCACATTTGAGTTATACCATTATAAGTTATGTCACATTTGAAGAAAACCGTTATAAGCTATGCAACATTTCTACGATTATAAGCTATGGAACAATTTAAATTTCCCATTATAAGCTATGCCACATTTTTAAGATTATAAGCTATGCAACAAATTCTTAATTATAAGCTATGACATCGTACCCTTATTTTGACTAGAGAGTTAGTCCTCAGTGATTTTCAGTTCAGTGAGTGATTCTATTTCAGTTTTCAGCTTCAACGTTTCAGTTCAGTCAGTCAGTAGTGTTACGTTTCGGCGGCCGTGAGTATCGTGTTTGCGCATGCGCCAAAGTGTGCCATTGCCATGCGCAGTGGAGTTGTCAAAATAAGTTCCGTTATGTCTTCGTCTTCTCCTTCTGTCAGAAGTGGATCCTCCGTTTCGCGTTGTTAAATCTTTGCTTATTCATAAATAGCGAGTGATTGAACCGTATATTGTGAATTATTTGAAATAGTAATGAATCGGTTTGTTAGTGAATGTGTTCATTCCAACGTTAGTGCAGTGGGATAAGTTTTACTGGTGGTGTTGTCAAATCCGATTCTCAAAGGATTATTCTGACATATGTGTTGAAAGTTCCTCTTTTTATATTCGGTAAGATCAAGTAATGTTCACTTAGATAGGACAATGAAGGTTGATTTTAATCATAAATATGGTTCCTAAGGTTATGTTATGGAGATGGGGTGATACCATGTTCTAATTCAACATAGGCTACACTTGACCAGACCTAACTTGAAAGCCAAGTCTGCAGAACTAATTTAACTCGAGTTTATAGGTTTAGGCTATGTGCATTATGTTCTCGCATGCTTTTAAATAGAGGAAGACTCCTTAAGTATACTTGAACATTTTTTAAACCATAGGCCTATATCAATTAAATACAGTAAGTTAAGTTATGTAGTGCCTAACTTATAAAAAGGCTATACTTACCTATTCCAAGTCTACTTTGACAATTTAGGCCTAGTAGCAAGTTAAAAAAGTTGAAACCTTCTAAGATAGATCTCCTCTTGTACCAACAATTCTTAAAGTAACTTAAGGCCTAGCCTACTTGGTGTCTAGCACTAAGTTAGTGCTGTTGTCTAGGGAAAAGTTCCATCACTGCCCCCTCGCCATCACATACTACTTTACTAACACTAAGTGTTCCTCCACTAAGATAAGTCTTATCTTAGTAGAGGAAGACCACGTGCGATAGAAATTTTCGCATAGGCCTAATGCTCGCTGCTAGGGCTCTTCCTTGATCGTCACAAGCATTATTTCAGTGACAACATAGGCTACTACACCTAAAAGCGCAAGGTTGTCCCATTTTTATTAAGGCATGTTTCCTCTGTACCTTACTTCTCTGTGATGTCCTAACTAATGAAACGGTTGGTCTAAGTAAAAAAGCTACTCCTGGCATCCATTTCCCTCCATTTTAAACACTCATCCTTCACTTGTAAGTTAAGTTATTTGGGTTAAGATAAGTAAGTTGTAGGCCTATGTTTCCAATATCAGTTGATAAGCTTAACCGGGTAAGTACTTCAAATGGGCTCACCTGTGGCTAAATTAACTCATAAAGTGATTCTGGATCAGAAACATTAGGCTTAGGCATTAGGTTATTCTCACTAACTCCATTCTACACGTCAATCCATGAATCATATGCAGCTAAAATAAGCTCACAAAGTGCTTTGCTGTCTTGTAGAAACTGATTGAAGAACAGTTTTAGGTTAAATAAGTACTAGAATCTACGTCAAAATATCAAAGTTCGTTTTGTTGACACCAATCCTAGGAGTCTGATAACTTCTCTAAGTTAGTTGGTAAAACCCTCTTATTTTGTCATGATACCGGTTCCATTAAATTTCTAGTTAGGGCCTACACTGTTTCACAAAAGACTATCCTGATCATGTATTTATTCTGTTTCAGACCATGACAAGTTCGCCCCCCGTAGTGTCTAGCTCCGCCGCTAGTTCTGTATTCCCTCCCAATGTAAGTTCCCCCTCCCCCACACCCTCCACCACGCCTTGGCCTACCTACCCTCATGCGGAACCTATCTTCCTCCAGACGAGGCTGGCACAAGGCATTGCCGGAGCCTTTGTATGGGTAGCACTCTTCCTCACATGCCAACAGGTTAGTTACTCTGATTCATAGAGATATTCTTAACATGTTTAATAGCTGAAAACGATAGTTACATAGTGCTCGTCTGATGATGTTGCCAGTTTGACTCTGTTTAACCTACAGTCTTTAATGTTTTGAAGCTGAACTGAGTTGTCCGTAATCATTCGGCTTTTAATAAATGATCCTGTTTAAAAAATCAGCTAGTGTAGTAAAAAGATCTAATCAAAGGCTACTACCACAGCCACCTTCAACTACAGGCCGCGGCCAGCGAGAATTGGCAACGTCGCACTGAGCATTAACTCCCTGCCATTTCACCATTACGGTAGTACGGAACTAGTGGTCGTGGTTTAAATATACTGCATTTTTACACCCTTACAATTGAGATAAAATTTTGAAATTTGGTACAGAGAAATTTGGTATGGTTTTGAAAATAAAAATTTCTTTTGGTGGTATATATTTTTTTTTAATTAACACATTAGAATACCCTAATTTAGGAAAAGTGAAGTGAAAAAGTAGTCGCCTACTAAAATTTTTGTTTGTTGGTCAGAGAAGTTTCGTCTGTGTGAAAAACGGTAGATAATTAAATATACTTTGAAAAGAGGTTGAAAAGAGCGACCAAATCTCAGTTTTTAGGCGGGGCATGGCGATTAGCGCTGCCCGCAAGCTGTAGTGTAGTATCGCATAGCTAATATAGTTAATTAATGTAGGCCAACTGAATTATTTCAAGCAGGTTAATATGCCTTTTGGTTATCCTCAAGAATATTACTTTTGTATAAAATATTGCTTTAATATACATACATTCCCAACCAGTACAGAAGTTCAGTTATATTTTAAAAGCTCTACCTGTGTTCCTTATATTTTCCCCTAATAAGTAATTTATTATTACAGCCAACAGCACAGCATTGAATGCATTTCAAAGACAGGTTAACTATTTACTACAATCCAGCCAACAAGTTTACACGTACACTGTGCACACTGCACGACTTAATGTCTTCATAATTAAATACCGTAGACTAAACAAAAATGCCTTTTCTTTTTAGTTTTATTAATTTTGCTTTAGTTTATTATGGATTTTAAGTATCTGTTATATTTACACATTATATGTGGTATTATGAGAAATAAAAATATTACTTCATTCATTCTGTTATTGCGCCACCATTAATAACTAATCCATTGAAAATATTCTTGCAACAGACAATCGGAAGGCGGGACTAGCGGAAACTTTAAATTTTGCGTTCATCAACCAATAGTGGCGTGACGACCACCATCTTGGTAGAATTAGGTGGTATTAGCGAATAACTAAAATTACCGGCAAGGCTAATTGCGGTTGTTCTTCTGTATTAGCTGTTTTTTATGTCTTTTTTAATGTCTTTTTATGATATTGATATTTCAGAAATAGCTGAAACTGTTTGCATTTGTGGAGTAAATTTTAAAGAAATAGTGTCAAAAATTATTTTGAGAAAGAGCAATGTTTTGATAAATAACTGAAAACGAAAGTAAAATAAGACAAAAATAATAGCCACCATAACCAGAGAAAAATGTCAATCGTTTCTTTAATAAAATAATTTTATCTATTGCTTTTGTTAATTTTTACTTTGTATAGTAAACGTCATCATTCTAATAATTGATAAAACAATAGCTTACATAGAAGCTGCAACTAAATAACATTGTAAATAGGATTTAAATTTTAAGTGTTTAACTGATAATAAATCATAGAGTAAATACGTAGAAGAGACGGAAGAAAACTACAACTATACGCCTAATACTTATACGTTCAATGTACCCGTACTGGTACCGTAAAAGGTTTGAATAAATATTGTATTATATTCTTGTATTAACACAAAAGCCTCGTATAATTCTTTCCTTCTTTTCCTTCAGATCAGTGTTGTCAGATATAAAACATCTAAATTAATAGATAATTTGCGTGCTTGCTCTATAATCCTCTGTGGCCCGAGCGCTAGCGTTCAGTGGCGTAGCGTAGCCATCCAGCCATCCTATGCGGTGTTGCCACTTCGAACGCCGCGGCCTGTAGTTAAAGGTGCTACTACTCAACCTCTATTTTTATTCAGCTAGGCTAGGTCTATACAAGGTTTGTCAATGTCTTACTAAAACAATTAGAAGAACATTTTGTCAATACTTAACCTACTTAATTCCAATGCCAGTGAAATTTTACACTATTTAATGTCTTTGAATGGTAAAATCTTCGCTTTGTTACATTTTACTGATAGCCTTTATTAAAACCCAAACTGAAATAGAGATCCAAAGCAAGCATGTTCAAATTTACTAATGTTGAACTTTTGTGGATGCCCAATACATAACTAACTTAGACCTACCTTCCCATATAAAAGTACTTTCTACTTGTGTAAAATATGTAAAATTATTTTGTGTAAACTATGTACATGAAAATAAGAATGCTATGAAACCCTGACCTAACTTTACATTCTGAAACCACTCTGTAATACACATTCAACATTCAACATGATCTTCGTCAACATCCTTGACCTTTGGCGAGGAAAAGTCTATTCTATGTAGCCTATTAATGTAGTTTTTTGTATAAAAACACGTCTTTTGAAATGAGTTGCTACAGCAACACATAGAGTCCTAAGTAAATATTGAGAAAAAATTAAGCATTTTTACCTTTTAGTTAGTACAGTTATGTTTTTCGTCTAAACAGAAATACTCTATTAATTTCAAACCAGGTAACAAATCTTCAGATTCTACACTGGTCTTATTTCACGATCAGAGTACCTCAGACAGTAAATTCTATCCTTGTTATACGGAACAGTCGCGGCCAAAACCGTGAGATTGATTGGTCACGGTGGCATTGACCGTCAAAACTTTGTCCTTCCGCTCATCTCTTATTTTTACTTTCTTTGTCGCTTTTGTAAGCATTTGTAAGGAATTGAATCCAGGGTTGTGCATGGACATTATGGTTTTCATTGTTTAGTTTTTTTAAGTTCATGTTTATTTATAAATTGAATTTTAGATAGATTTTGTCGATTTGCAGTGGAAACAATTTGACAATGTGTACAATTATTTTGTGTAAACTATGTACGGTAACCAGATAAAACTTGTCTATTTGATTTATTGTGTTTCTTCTGGTATTTTCGCAGTGAATCAAAGTTCACATTGTAAAATTTAGTAGAAAAGAGGAGAAACAATTGGTTCAACATGCGTAAAACCAGATGTTAAACACAGGCTTCACACTTAGCTGTAGGATGAGGAGTCTACTTGCAGTACATATTCAGAGAACTGATTTGTGCCAATTAAAAAAATTTCTAAAAATTGTAAGTACCACTACTAACTACTTTACTAGTGACTACTTTTTCTTTCCGTGGAAGCAAATCATTAAAAATAATTCCCACATGCTTAACATGTTGAATTTAAAAGCCAGGGGCCGGAGGAGTAATAGATTTTATTATTGGGAACAAGACGGAAAACTTCCTAGGCAATATAGAATATATTGAATCTATAGAAAGGCAATTTCCCAAATTTTAATAATGATTAAATCAATGGTTTGGTAATGATAAAGTACAGACATACAGAAGAGCATTTGATTTTATATGTAGTTAAGCCTACAAGGTATATAAGATCCTTTCTGTTTTTCCTTTTGTTTCCATAAAGCAGACCAATTAATATTTTTTATCCCTCAAAACTCCACCTGAGAACTATAAAAACCCAAGTTGGCAGAGTCCTAGGTTGACATTAAAACAGGACTAGGCCTGTAATAATCCCTGGTGCAGGAGCTATTTTCTTTAATTTTAGCTTAATTGGTTCTGTAGATTATGCTTGTTGGAAAGATAGATAGACAAACACCTAATTCTTCAAATTATTTATTTATTTTTGTTTAGCCTAGATGTCCAACATTAGACCACTTAAGTTATTTTAATGGGAAGATTTTTCTTCATTTTTCTTGTCGTCTGTCTTTACTTGTTCAATCCCAGTACTTTTTCATTCAGTCAGACTGTAATTTCTTTCTCCGTTTCAAATCATCCTCACTGGTCCCTTGATTAATTAGGCCTACTTAAACAATAGTGCCGTGTGTTTATCTTGTAGTGCTTTAAGTATTTCCTTATTTTTTTCAATCCTCAATAGAAATTTCTAGTTCTCTCATCTATTCTTTTATTTCTGTAGGCGTAATACACTTGATGTCGGTTTTGCTGTTCCACAATTTTACCATGATTTTCCTGCTCACTGTCTCATATTGAAGACCTAAAGTAAACGTTCAAAGAATGAGATTCTTTCCTTTCTTATGGTATTTTTCCCTCTTTTTCACCTTTAATTGTTATATGATAGCAGGTCAACAGATAGATAAAAAACCCAAGTTTCCGCAAATTAATCATCAATGTAAAAAAAATTTCTGAAGGTCAAATTTCAAAATGATGCAAAATCGTCTATAGTTTGTGAAATACCGTTGTAGAATGATCAAAACTTTCAATTGAGGCTGGCAGTGAGGTCAGATCAAGGCAAACAAGTTCCCCCCCCTCCACCCCTCTGTCCAACAAGCCTTTCACCAGGCCACGCCATCGAGTGAAGACACTGACTTCTTTGTCATCAATACAGTCTCACAGCTGTGGGATATGCCTTTCTTTGTTACTTCCTTGGTTTCTCTCGGCCATTCGAGAAGAATACCTATGTCTTAGTAGGAGTTACTTTCACGTTGCTAGTTGTCTGTCTTTATATGGTATAAAAAAACTGCTTCCTAATCCTGTACTTAAGGTTTTATGAGGAAGAATTAAATTTTCAATGTTCATTAATTTAATGCTGAAAGTAAAGGTGACGTTGTCCAATCTATTTAAGAAAGACTAATAAAAGAGGAATTATAAATTACTTAAATGTAAAAAGCCTGTAACTAAAAACAAAATTAAAATTTTTAACCTTTGTAAAAAACAATTTAGTCTTTGTGGCGGGACTCGCCACAAAGACTAAATTGTTTTTTACAAAGGTTAAAAATTTTAATTTTGTTTTTAGTTGCAGGCTTTTTACATTTAAGTAATTTATAATTCCACTGT